GGTACGCACGACGCTGGAAGTCAGGACTCGGGGGTCCGGGATGCGGATCAGGGAGGCCCCGGGAGATCCTGAGGTGCGGGGACCCTGGGACCCGCGGGACGGATTGACTTCTGGACCGCAAATGCAGGGGCCCCGGGGATGCTTAGGAGTCCGATGACGGCGCCGCTGGGTTCGCAGGACCTGGGCCCCTGGACCCCGGGTGCTCCCAGAGCATGGGAACCAGAGGCAGGAGTCCCCTGGTCCACGGTTCCGGGACCCTTCGGGACTTCTCTGGACCCCGGAATACAGACCCTCAGGATGCCCCCTTTGGGGCACGGAACTCGGGTGCAGACCCTTTCCCTGAGCCTTGGTGGTGGAGTCCCGCCACTGCAGCCACTCACCCTTTTGGCCCCAGGACCCATCCCACTCCCTGAGAGCGGCCCGTTCCAGGGCCAAGGGCAGCTCTCGGTTCCCAACAGGCGGGACCACAGATCTGGGAAGGGCCTCCCTCTTTGCTCTCTGGGGGTGGGGTGCCCTTCTTGGGTCCTCAGGCCACTCTCACTCCAAAGCCCTCCCTCCATCCTCCTTTTCACACTCTCCACCTTTTTGGAGTTTACTTTCTAGACACACCCCCATCCCCACCACAGGCCCAGATCTGGCATGAAGTTTTTAAAAAATGAGATGAGGATAGAAGGGTGACAGCAGGGCTCTGGGGACCCTGTTGTGCCCCAGGAAAAGACCCCCCATATACACCTCCTAGGCCCAGCAGAGAGGGACGTGGATCTGGTGGGAGCCGCCATCCCCCCAAAACCACCTTAAAGCCCCTCTTCTGGGAGGGAGACCCGGACCCTGGAAGAGGCCCGGAGTTTCACCAACCCCGATGTCACTGCTGAGGCCCGTTTTCCTACCCCTGTCTCCTCCCCATGGAAGAGGCAGGACCCAAATCCAGGCCTGTGGCGCCCTCTTCTGCCGCCTCTAAGAACTGCGCCCCTGCAGTTGGAACTGTCGGGTTTTTGTGGGGACTGACTGAGCAGCCGTGCCCAGCCTGTCCCCCAGCACTGGGTGCCCTGTCCTCATGCAGGCAACATCCTGCCCACCTTAGATGTCTCTCAAAGCTCACCCCTCTTTCACAGGCTGATCAAATCTAGGAGAACTTTCTGGGTGCCATTGGGCACAAGGGACCCCTTAGCCCCTGGTTTGCCTGGTTCAGGGGCAGTGATGTATAGGAGTCCTAAGAGGAAGCACTCTGGCTTGGCTTCCAGCATGAAATCATCAGCCAGTTGATGATCATGGAGCCTTAGTCCTGGACTCTTGAGGGGTTCGCAGACAGGAGGGGTAGGTGAGGTCAGGACTGTGGTGAATGAAGGATCTGAGGTTGCGAGAGTCCAGAGGGGAGCCAGAGTTCTGAGGGTGGATGGGAATGTCTAAATAGAGGAGGGGGCAGTGGGGCTGAGTTTTGAAGAATGTGTAGGAGTTGACTGACATAGAGAAAAGTATTCCAGATTGGGAATGGCACATGCAAAAATCCTCCAAGTGGGATGCTACCAGGGTGGCCAGAGACACAACAGAAGGCCCTAAATGTCAGGCCAGGGAGGCTGGGTTTAGTGCTGATGGCTGTGGGGAACACAGAAGGGTTTAGAGCAGAGGTAGGGTGGGAGGAGACAGGCATGAGGTCTAGTTATCAAGATGGCCTCTGTTTATTGGACACCTATTGGTGGGGGTGGGAAGGACATGGTGGTCACCAGCCTTAACTGTGACCACCTCCCTTCCCAGAACCCGTTTCACCTACAGTTGGACTGGGCCAGCCCCCTGGAGACGCTGCTGGAGGTGCTGGTGTCCGTGCTGCAGGCCCATGCCTGGGAGGACGTTGGCCTGGTGCTCTGCCGCACGCGGGACCCTGGTGGCCTGGTGGCCCTCTGGACAAGCCGGGCTGGCAGGGCCCCAAAGCTTGTGCTGGACATGAGCCGACCCGACACCGGTGATGCAGGGTTGCAGGCCCGCCTTTCTTCTCTGGGGGTGCTGGAGGGGGGCTCAGCCCTAGTACCTGTGGCCGTGCTCCTTGGCTGTGACATGGCCCGTGCCCGTCAGGTGCTGGAGGCTGCCCCTCCCGGGCCCCGCTGGGTGCTAGGCACGCCGCTGCCTGCAGAGGCACTGCCCACTGAGGGCCTGCCACCTGGGCTGCTGGCACTGGGCGAGGTGGCTCGACCCTCACTGGAGGCCACTATCCACGACGCGGTGGAGCTGATAGTGCGGGCGCTGGGCAGCGCAGCCCGTGTGCAGCCAGAGCGTATCCTTCTCCCCGCCACCACCAACTGCAATGACCTGAAGCCACCCAAACTCCAGTCCTCAGGCCACTTCTTGGCACAGTGAGTGGGGACCCTGCTGTAGGAAGGGGTGCAGCCTCCACATGGAGCTGCCTCTGTCTGGGGCAACGTTATTGGGCACTTGGTATATGCCAGGCACTGTGGCCTCATGAGAGGGTGGCTTTGTCCCTGTCTTGGTGGAAACAGGCCTGAGAAAGGAATTCTGGTGAAGGGCACACTTGGCACTGTGGGAGAAGTGGGAGAGGGCAGCGGGCATGTGTCTCTGCCTGATCCCAGGGGAGGTCTGGAGAGTGGACACCTCCCCAGAGCCAGGGGGCACTACCTGGGCGTTCAAACTGGATGGTCAGCGTTGACTTCACGCCCCTGCTGGTAGAGACCTGGTGTGGGGGGACACAACTGCATCCACAGTGGTCCCTGGTCTGTGCTGAGAGGGTCTGAGCTTTGCTGGGGGGACTCCCACTACTTGATGTCTGTTTGCCTCCCACCTTCTGCCAGGTTCCTGAGCAACACATCCTTCCAGGGCCACACAGGGCCAGTGTGGGTGACCAGCTCCTCCCAGGTGTACATGTCCCGGCACTTCCAGGTGTGGAGCCTGCGCCAGGACCCGCTGGGCACCCCAGCCTGGGCCACACTGGGCAGCTGGCAGGATGGGAGGCTGGAGTTGGAGCCAGGGGGTGCTGCTGTGCAGCCCCCATCCCCGCTGGGTGCCCGGGTCCGGCCTAAGCTGCGTGTGGTGACCCTGGTGGAGCATCCATTTGTGTTTGCCCGAGAACCAGACGAGGATGGGCAGTGCCCAGCAGGACAGTTGTGCCTGGACCCTGGCACCAACGACTCTGCCACCCTGGATGCGCTGTTTGCTGCCCTGGCCAACGGCTCGGTGTCCCGTGCTCTGCGCAAGTGTTGCTATGGCTACTGCATTGACCTGCTGGAGCGCCTGGCAGAGGACATACCCTTTGACTTTGAGCTATACATTGTGGGCGATGGCAAGTACGGTGCCCTGCGGGATGGCCGCTGGACTGGCCTGGTGGGTGACCTGCTAGCTGGCAGGGCCCACATGGCAGTCACCAGCTTTAGCATCAACTCAGCCCGCTTGAAGGTGGTAGACTTCAGCAGCCCCTTCTTCTCCACCAGCCTGGGCATCATGGTGCGGGCAAGAGACACGGCCTCACCTCTTGGGGCCTTTATGTGGCCGCTGCACTGGTCTATGTGGCTGGGTGTCTTTGCCGCCCTGCACCTCACCGCGCTCTTCCTCACGCTTTACGAGTGGTGCAGCCCCTATGGCCTCACACCCCGCGGCCGGAACCGCGGCACCGTTTTCTCCTATTCCTCGGCCCTCAACCTCTGCTACGCCATCCTGTTTGGACGCACAGTATCCAGCAAAACCCCCAAGTGCCCCACTGGGCGTCTGCTCATGAACCTGTGGGCCATCTTCTGCCTGCTCGTGCTGTCTAGCTACACGGCCAACCTGGCTGCCGTCATGGTCGGGGACAAGACTTTCGAGGAGCTGTCAGGGATTCACGACCCCAAGGTGGCTGGCTGTGGGGGCTGTGGCCAGAGCTGGGAGGTTGCCCACTCACACACTACCCATCCTGAGACCCAACTACCTGTGGCCATTTACTCGTGCAAACATTTATTGAGCACCTGTGGTGTGCCAGGCAGTGGGAACACAGCTGGGACAAAATAGGTGACGATCCCCATCCTCGGTGGAGACGTGGCAAGAATCAAGATAGATAAGCAAAACAGATGGTGTGTGAGTGCCAGGGACAAAAATAAGGCAGAGGAGGGACACAGGAATGTTTGGGCATTTTCTCAAATGGAGGTCAGAAATTCCTCTGGGAGGGGGTGACATGAGGGACTTTTATATGGACGTCAGAGAGGAGAGGGCACAGCCCCCATGCAAAGGCCCTGTGGCAGGACCTTGCCTGGTATTGTTGGGGTGTTGGAGGAACATCTAGGAGGAGAGGGAGCAGAGGGAGGGAAGGAGGTGAGGTCAGAGAGGTAACAGGGGACAGGTTGTGCAGGCCTATGGATGCAGGAGGCCCTGGGCTTCTAAAGTAGAGAGGGAGCAGAGGGAGGGAGGTGAGGTCAGGGAGGTAACAGAGGGGGCAGGTCATGGAGGGCCTATGGATGCAGGAGGCCCTGGGCTTCTAAAGTAGTTCCCTCTGAGATGAAACTTCTGGGAGCCCTGGAGGGCTGTGGGCAGAGCAGGGGTGTGCCCCAGTCTACATCTTTTTATTTTTTCAAACATTTATTTATATATTTAAAATACTTTTATTGATTTCAGATAGGGAGAGGGAGATATAGAATCATCAATGATGAGAATCATTGATCAACTGCCTCCTGCACACCCCACACTGAGGATTGAGCCTGCAACCTAGGCATGTGCCCTGACTGAGAATTGAACCATTACCTCCTGGTTCATAACTCGACGCTCAACCACTGAGCCATGCCGCCTGGGCTTAAATTGATTATGGAGAGAGAGGAAGAGAGAGAAACATTGATCTGTTGCCTCCTGCACAAACCCCTACCAGGAACTGAACCCACAACTTGGGCATGTGCCTGACTGGGAGTTGACCTGGCGAGCTTTCAGTGCACAGAACTCTCAACCAACTGAGCCACACTGGCCAGGGATACATATTTTTCTTTTTTAATAAAAAAGTTTTGAATATCCCTGAGTGGGAAGCAAAGACCATGAGTGAACCTATTGTCTGGCTCCAAAGTCAACTGCCAGCTGCTTTCATCCATCACTGACCTCAGTTGCTGAGTTATTACAAAACAAATCCCAGACCTTATATAATTTCATCATAAATACTTGGAATTTTGACAAATATTGGACCCATTTTCCCAGTTGTGTTTTTTTTTCTTCCAGTTTGACACATTTGCAGATGGTAGAACCCTTCCAGCTCTTGAATTCCCTCTCACTTGTTTCCTAGTGTTTGTTGAAGTTGTTGTAGGGTTTTTGTTGTTCATAGCATCTCCTACTGTTTGAATCTGGCTGATTGCATCCCCTAAGGCCGTGGTCGGCAAACCGCGGCTCAGGAGCCACATGCGGCTCTTTGGCCCCTTGAGTGTGGCTCTTCCACAAAATACTGACTTCTGCACATGGGCCACGAAGTTTCAATCGCACTGTATGTGCGCGCCCACACAGGGTCCTAGACCAGTAGTGGCCCCACCCCATAACAAAGAAACAGAATTTCCGGAGGATGAGGCCCAGAAATCAGGATTTGAGAGCAGGGTGGGAGGCTGCACTGGTCCAGGAGAGATGGTGGGGGCTACTGAGGAGGTAGGCAGTAGGTTGGCTGTGGGTGTGGTTTTTGTTAATCCTCACCTGCGGATATTTTTTTCCATTGTTTTTCAGAGAGAGAGGGGGAGGGAGTGCAGTGGGAGAGGGAAAGAGAAACGTCAATGTGAGGCACATTGACTGATAGCTCATTCAGTAGGAGTTTGCACAGAACATGGGCAGTGCTGAGAGTAGGGTGGGAGGCTGCGCTGGTCCAGGAGAGATGGTGGGGGCTACTGAGGAGGTAGGCAGTAGGTTGGCTGTGGGTGTGGTTTTTGTTAATCCTCACCTAAGGATATTTTTTTCCATTGTTTTTCAGAGAGAGGGGGAGGGAGGGCGGTGGGGGAGGGAAAGAGAAACGTCAATGTGAGGCACATTGACTGGTTGCCTCCTGCCTGTGCCCTGACTGGAGGCAGGGAGCAAACCCACAACCCAGTTGTGTGCCCTTGACCAGGAATCAAATCTGTGACCCTTTGATGTGACGCTAATGCTCTAATCACCATGGACCAGGGCATGGTGGTGGGTGTTCTTAAGGCAGAGCCGACCCCGCAGGGTTTGCAGGACAGGTCATGGGATGAAAGGAGGGAGAACAGGGAGCCCTGGAGGAAGTGGTGGGAGGAGGTCTGGAGTTCAGGGCCACGTCTGTGTGATGGACTCTGGGTAGTGCCTGCCCACAGGGGACACTAGGTCATGTCTGGGGATATTTGTGGTTATCACAGTGGGGGTACTCGCGGCATTGTGAGGATGGGGCCAGGGATGCTGCTCTACACTTGCAGTGCCTGGGACAACCCTCCACAGAAAATGACCTGGCCTGTCAGCCGGGAGGGGAGACGCTGGTTGAGAGCTTTGGGCCTGGGTGGGAGGCCAGAGCAGAGTCAGGTGGGAATGCAGGTGAGTGCAGAGAAGGGCCTGGCACTGACCACTCACCTGCCCACAGCTGCACCACCCGTCCCAGAGCTTCCGCTTTGGCACTGTGTGGGAGAGCAGTGCAGAGGCCTACATCAAGAAGAGCTTCCCTGAGATGCACGCACACATGCGGCAACACAGCGTACCCACAACACCTCATGGCGTTGCCATGCTCACGTGAGGCCAGGGCATACAGCAGGGAGGCAGCAAGGACTACCAGGGCAGGTGTTCACCCCCTCCACATCCCCACAGGAGCGACCCCCCCAAGCTCAATGCTTTCATCATGGACAAGTCACTCCTGGACTATGAGGTCTCCATCGACGCCGACTGCAAACTGCTGACTGTGGGCAAGCCCTTTGCCATTGAGGGTGAGAGGCCCGAGACCAGTGACCCTGAGGCAGCAGGGAGCCACTGAGGGCTCAAAGTGGGCACAGCTCCCCTGGGCTGTGTCCAGTCTGGTCCAACCCAATTCCTGGCCTTCATCAGGTTATGGCATCGGACTCCCTCAGAACTCACCGCTCACCTCCAACCTGTCCGAGTTCATCAGCCGCTACAAGTCCTCTGGCTTCATCGATCTGTTGCATGACAAGTGGTACAAGATGGTACCTTGTGGGAAGCGGGTACTTGCTGTCACAGAGGTGGGACAGGGCCTGGGACACAGGGTGTGGGTAGGGTGTGGGGGCTCTGAGCCTGTGTGGGCTGAGGTGGCCAATCCCCTGAGCATAAGCAAGATATGTATGTCTGCTTTTGTGCAGTCCTGTTCATCCTACAAAATCCCAGCTCCAGTGCCCTCTCCTCCTTGGAAACTTGCTCCAGAATATGGAGCCCTAGCCTCCCAATCCAAGAGCATAAGCAAGATGTGTACTTGTCTGCTTTTGTGCAGTCCTGTTCATCCTACAAAAATCCCAGCTCCAGTGCCCTCTCCTCCTTGGAACCTTGCTCCAGAATATGGAGCCCTAGCCTCCCAATCCAACTGTACAGCCCCAGGTCCGTCTCTGGCCCAACCTGTGTCCTCCAGGCCAGGGCTCCCCAAGGGTCTGCCATGACCATGAAGGGCTGGTGCCTGTGTCCCACCTCTGCAGACCCTGCAGATGGGCATCTACCACTTCTCCGGTCTCTTTGTGCTGCTTTGCCTGGGCCTGGGTAGTGCCCTGCTCAGCTCTCTGGGGGAGCACATCTTCTACCACCTGGTGCTGCCATGTATCCGGAGGGGTAACAGGTTGCAGTACTGGCTACACACAAGTCAGGTGAGGAGATGGCACAGGGCGGGCAAGCATGGGCAACCTCCCAACCTGACCCAACACAGCCTCTATCTGGCTCACAGAGAATCCACCTCGCCCTCAACACAGAGCCGCTGGACAAGCAGAAAGAACCTGAGCCAAGGTAAGGGGCTCCCACTCCACCAGCTCCTACACTCGCCTCAGGCCTGCCATTTTACACCTGCAGGCCCCACTCCCATTCCAGAGCCGAACCAGTAAGTCCATGCCTCCCACCACTCAGCCTCCTAGGAACCCTGACCCCAGAGAGCAGAGAGGGACCGCCCGTTCCTTGGGGGATACTGATCCAGCCCCATCCATCCTCTGTTCCCAGGGATCTGGAGAAGCAGCAACAAGACATACCAACTGCCCGCTCAGGCCAGGGCAACTGGACACGGGTGTGCCAGGCCATGGTAAGGGAGCGTCATGTGCACTTCCTTCTGGAGCCAACCTTGGCCACTGCTCCATCAGTAGTGGGCACAGATGTGGAGGGGAACAGGTCACCTGAGGGTCCCATCCAGCTCTGCTCCAATGGCCAGCCACCCACCATGCTGCCCACTGGCGCCCCACGCCCGGGGGAGCTGGAGGAACTGGAGCAGCACATTGCGGACGCACGTTCAAGGCTCCATCAGGCGCTGGTGCGGCATGGGGAGCTCCTGGCCCAGCTCCCAGGTGGCAGCTGCGATGGGCCACTGTGCCTGCTCTAGGCCTCCAGTGGTCTCCACCTGCTTCATCACTGGGAGGTGGCCATGCCGCACCACACCCAGCCCACTTGACTTTGCATGAGGGCGGACCCTGCAGGAGCTAATCCCAGCACCGGGTGCATGCAGACACTGGCTGGGTGCTGTCAACAGACAGTTTATTCTATATACAAACACAATTTTGTACACTGCAATTAAATAGAATGGAATGAGCACTCTGCAGTCCTCACCGAGTGACATAGTTGGGCCGTTGGCTCTCTCCAGCAGGAGCAAGGCTGGACCCTAGCGCCCGGTTGCTGTTTTTGACAGTTGGCGCCCACACACTGTGTCCCTGTGCCAATACCCCAGCCCTGGCACGCATATATGGGGGCAGGGGCTGTGGAAAAGGCACTGCGCACAACAGAGCACCCGCTGAGTGGCCAGGACAGTGAGGGAGGCCCCCACCAGTGTTCACCTGGCTCAGAGACTTGCTAGGCTCTCCCCCTAGATACAGCTTGCTCCAGACCTTACACCAACCCCTTCCAGAGCCTTCTATGGAGACCCCATCCCTTTTTTCTGCCCTAGCTCATCAGCCTGCCTTGATTTGCTGGCTGAGGGACCCACCACAAATGTGGCAGGGACAGGCTGTGGGCAGGCCCCACACCCGGGAGAGAGAAGCCCACCCCTGGGCAAACCAGATGGACCCCAACACAAGGCCAACTGGGCAATCCCAGAGACACCGGGGACAGCCTCCCTGATCCCCAAGGACACCAGCCAGGTCACACCCAGCTGGCCTGGACAGCCAGGGACAGAGGCACTCAGCTGCCCAGGACTTAGGAGCCGATTTCTGAGGGTTCATCTGTCGGGCCTGGGGACTCAGGGATGGGCCCACTCGCTCCAGCAGCCAGAGGGCCTGTGTCAGGTGTTGGGGAGTCGCTTGGGGGGACACTGTCCTGGGGGGCTTGGAGGCCCCGAGGGAATCCCCCACCCGGGCTCAGGGGGCTAGCTGCCCTCCGCTCCAGAAGGGAGGCGCTCAGGCCAGACAGGAAAGAGGCGTCTGTGATGATGGCAGCTGTCTCTGCCATCCAGCCCAGATCACTACTGGCCGCTGCAGCCACTGAGGCTGCCGCAGCTACCAGAGAGCTGGGTGCTTCAGCTACAGGCCTGGGGACACCACCAGCCCCCAGTGAGCCAGGGTCCAGGGCGGGGGGCTGGCTGGCAGGGTCAGGTGCAGCGGCCGGGGCGCCCCCATTGTTGTTGAGGTCATCTGGCAGCGCCGTGGGGGTACCAGGGCCCAGCGGTGGTGTCTGTAGCAACATCTCCTGGATGCGGATCTGCTGCAGGATGGCGGGCAGCTCATAGTGGTGGAAGAAGTAGATCATGGAATGCTGGAGGGAGGGTGGGCGTGGGTCAGGCCCAGCACAGGGCCAGACCTCCCACAGGCTGGACCTCGAGGAGTAGGCAGGGCCCCTCACCTGGATGAAGAGCCAGGAGGTGACTAGGGCCAGACTGCTGTACTGCCCATTGAAGCGGTAGTGGTAGGCATAGAAGGCGAAGTGGTACAGGTAGAAGAACCTGCAGGGGGCACAGTGAGGTGCCGCCAGTCCATATCCCACCCTGACCCCGCCTGGACCCGTGGCACTCACCGCAGCCAGTGCCTCTTGCTGGTGTTGGTGTGGCAGCAAATGGCATCATACTGGTCAGCCAGCCACACGATGAGGATGATGTAGAAGGCGGTGGTGGTGTCATTGAAGAACTCCGACATGATAGCCTCCATCCCTACAGGAGACCGTGGGTTGCGGTGGGCATGATGGGAAGGCCAGGAACAGAGGGGAGGTGGGTGTAGGGGACTGGGTGAGAAGGCAGAATGGAGGGCAGAGAGGTCCTCACCCACGAGGGCCAGGATGACGGTCAGCAGGGGCGCTGCAGGGAAGGCGATGGCCATGTTCATCTCCAGCATCTGCAGCAGGTCCACTGCGGGCAGAGGGTGGTGGGCGGGCAGACCGGGTGAGGCGCCCCTTGGGGGGTGGGGTGGGCAGGGGGCCATGGGGCCTGAGGCTGACCCCACCTTTCCTCCCACCACCAGGCCAGGAGACTCACCAATGAAGACAAAGATCTGGTGATGGGAGTAGCGGAGCAGCATGGACACGCTCAGGGTCTGCAAAGGCAGGCGTGTAAGGCTAGGGAAGGGCCACCTGCCCCCACACCCTCTGCCCAGCCCAGTATCAAGACACTCACGAAGATGACCATGATGATGAAGGCAGCCAGATAGGATGCTCGGGCCATCCACATGCTCACAAATCGGTAGTGCTCGCCTGACACCACGTTCCGCAGAAAGCCTATACAGGGAGGCTGTGAGCACCACTGCCTGCCCTCCAGCCCCCAACACTGTACCCCACACCCTCCCCAGCCCTGGTCCCAATCGCACCCTTGTTCTCCTCGTTCTCAGCCAGACCCTTCACACTGGACATGAGGATGTCATCATAGCCCAGGAACTCGGCCAGCAGCAGGCGGCTGAAGCGGTCCCCGAAGCACTGGTCCCGTGTGGGATCTGCAGGTGGCACACCAACAGGGGTAAGGCCCCCACTGGCCCGCATCCACCCCACCTGGGCAGTGCTGTGATTGTCAGGCCCTGGGGGATGGTCCCCAGACCTCAGTCTTTAAAAAAAAAAGAAAAAATTCTTACTAGAGACCCGGTGCACGAAACTCGTGCACTTGTGGGGGTCCCTCAGCCTGGCCTGTGCCCTCTCGCAGTCCGGGAGCCCTTGGGGGATGTCCAACTGTGGGGAGCGGGCCTAAACCCACAGTCGGACATCCTTAGCGCTGCTGTGGAGGCAGGAGAGGCTCCCATCACTGATGCTGTGCTCAGCAGCCGTGAGCCCAGCTCAGGGCTTCTGGCTGAGCGGCACTCCCCCTGTGGGAGCACACTGTCTGCCCCCTGGTGGTCAGTGTGCGTCATAGTGACTGGTTGTTCCACCGTTTGGTCAATTTGCATATTAGCCTTTTATTATATAGGATTGATTTCAGAGAGGAAGGGAGAGGGAGAAAGATAGAAACATCAATGATGAGAATCACTGATCTGCTGCCTCTGCACACCCCCCATTTGGGGATCAGCCTGAAACCCAGGCATGTATCCTGATCAGGAATCAAACTGTGACCTCCTGGTTCATAGGTCAATGCTCTACTACTGAGCCATACTGGCTGGACCAGACCTCCATCTTTAAGTGCTTCTGGATCACTCCCTACCATGGCCCTCTCCCAGGGTGACTCACCCAGGGTGACTACCATGACCGGGATGCTGAGCCGCTGCCGCGTGGCCTGTGACAGGCGCAGGAAGCCATACTCCAGCGAGTACTCCACAATGTACTCATCCTGTGGCCACACTGTGGGTGAGAATGGCCTGTCAGCCTACAGAGTCTCAGCCAACCCCACCTCCCTCCTTCAGAGGAGGAGCCAGAGAGGGAGTGTGACCAGGGCCCAGGAGCACCTCTATTGCCTCACATGCTGCTGACAGATAGGGAAATGGAAGCTCGGAGTGGCCATTCTCCATGTCCAGGAGTGTGACTCCCCCTGACATCTTGGCAACACATACCTTTTGAGGGTGTCTCAGGGAAGGGGAACTCCTGGCTATCATTCAGGGCCTCAGGGCCACCGGGCGGCTTGAACACCTTGGGCTCAATGTCCAACTCAAACTGTGGGTCACCAGGAGACAGGGTGTCAGTGGGCCCTTGTCTGGCAGAGAGGCCCCTCTCCTGCCACCTGGAAGGAGATGCACTCTGCCCCTGTCCACTGTAACCCCCAGCCTCTGCCAGAATATCCTCCACCTCTGGGGCGGAAGGGCCTCTGACCAGCGTCTCACGAAAAGACCCCTCACCCAGCACCAAGATCCTAGCCATCTCCAGGTGAGTGTCTGTGCCCCAAAGTTGGGGATGAGGCCCCACACACCCATCCCTGCGGGCAGCTGCATCATCGGGATGACCAGGACTGCTTGGGCTCTCAGCCCAAACCCTCCTGGGGCCTCCTCAGCATCCCCAGAATGAGGCCAGTCCCTTCCAGGTAACAGTCTGCTTCGCACAGCACCCACATCCCGTCCCAAGGCCACGAGTGCCGGGCCCTGCAACGTCCAGAGCTTCCCCAACAGTGACATCCTCCTGCACACTCACCTGGATGGAGTGGTTCCCAAACATCTCCATGGTCAACTCCTCCTCCTCCTCCTCTAGCTCCAGGCCACCAGGCTCCGCAGACAGGCCAGGGAAGCTGCTGCGACTACTGTCACAAAACTGCAGGAAGACTGGCGCTCGACTCGAGTTCTGCTGTACTTCCACGCGTAGGACGCCCTCTCGTGGCCACTTGTCGCGCACGTGCTCCAGGCAGTTGATGGGAGACCGGGAGAAGACGATGTGGATATAGGCCAGGACGAAGAGCACGAACAGGGCCTGGGGGCAGGGGGCCCCACCGGAAAGTGAGGCCTGAGCTTTGTTGGGGAAGGAAGGGAACCCCGGGCTCTGAGGTTCCCTAAGCTCCAAACCCACCCTGTCCTCTCCTGGCAGCATACGGTCTTAAGGGTGTCACTGGTCCAAGGTCCTGACCACCCTGCTCCATGTGAGCCAGGATGAGGCACTCATGTGCGTGTGGAACCCCCACTCTCAGAGAGACTATCAACTAACTGCTCCCTGGGAGGCCCAGCCCAGGTGCCACCACCCCTGGGCCACCTGCTGGGCTCCCACTGTCCCCAAGAAGCCTGCCTAGCTGCCTCACACTCTGCCTTGTCCTCAGAGTGCCCCTGACCTCACCAGCTAAAAACAGCCTTCTTTGCCCACTAAGCACTCTGCACCCCTCCCACGATGACAGGGCCAGCTCGCTCTGCCTCTTTGAGGCAGTTTCTCCATTAGTAAAACGGGGACGGCAGGGGTCTCATCTGGGTGGTCCTATCCTCAGGGGGCGGCGCTAGGCCAGTGATGTCGAACCTATGACATGCGTGTCAGAGGTGACACACGAACTCATTTTTTTGGTTGATTTTTCTTTGTTAAATGGCATTTAAATATATAAAATAAATATCAAAAATATAAGTCTTTGTTTTACTATGGTTGCAAATATCAAAAAATTTCTATATGTGACACGGCACCAGAGTTAAGTTAGGGTTTTTCAAAATGCTGACACGCCGAGCTCAAAAGGTTCGCCATCACTGCGCTAGGGGATGCTGCTGCTCAGCACTCCAGTGATCAGGGCAGCCCTCACAAAGAGCAAGTAGCCTGATATCAGAAGTGCCGAGGGGGGTCCCTCGGGCGGGGGGGGGGGGCCCTGCCCTAGGTCACCAACAGCAACTTCTGCCCGACTCAAAGTAAGTGCATCAAAAGGGCCCTCCATTTGGATCTACTGAGGAACACCCTCCTCCCCAAGAACTCACCTCACTGTCTGACAATCTTGCTTCTCATGGGGCCCCAGTTGGATAAGTGTCACCTTCCCAGCCTAGAAGCCATGCCAAGGCATCGCCCCCATGCATCCCACCCACTGCCCTACCCTTGGGGAAAGGGCACAGCTGGTCCAATGTGGTGCCAGCCTTCCCAGGAAAAGATGGATGTCAGGGAACTGGTGACCCCAGTGGCTATTCAGTCAGAGACTGGGGTGATCCCTCAGCTGGGCCAGCACAGCCTCCGACCACCCTCACCACACACAAGCTCCTACCAAATTACTACTCTCCAGGACCAGCTCGCTGTGTGGTCCAGAACCACAGCTTGGAAAAGCCTGGGCCACAGAGACCAGAGCACAAAGTCCTTCTCTGCCATCTGACAGGGACACTGATACTCAGGCGGCTGGTGAGTTGCCCCTGGCTACACAGCCACCAGAACCCCATCCTTATGGGGCCATGAGCCCCAAAGGGTAGTACCAATGCCAGCTGTAGACCACCTGGCCTCCCCTCTGGAGTCTGCTCTGCAAACTGGGCAAAGGCCAGGTCACTAAGGCACCAACTCCTGGCCTGGCAGCAGTGGCTGTGACCTGAGGGTGGGGAGAGGTCCCACCTCCGAGCACACTGCTGCCTGCCTGGATCCAGCCATCCCAGTCTCCCCAGTTGCATGAGCTCCAAGATCTCTCTTGGGCCAATGTAAACTGTTTCCTTCACTTGCAGACAAAAGTGCCACAGATGGATGGAGATTAGAGCATCACTAAGATTTCAGCAGACAGACATTGTAGCACCTGGTTGTTCAGGTCTCAACAGATGCTGAAGACAACAACAGCTGAGGCCTCCGAGAGGTGAGGATGGGGCTGGGTGAGGCCGTGTGGGAGGCCAGAGGAGCCTCCTACCAGCCAGCTTGCACCCCAGCCTTTCTTTCCAACATGGTGTCTGGGGACCACCAAGCTGGTGATGGGAGTTGTTAAGTGCAGGGGGCGGGGCCTGGGACTCATAGCTGTGGCAGGAAGCACTCAGTTCGCCTGGAAGCCTCCATGCTCAGCTCCCAGCCCCGCTCTCCGATGGGAGTTAAGTGCAGGGGGCACTCAGTTCACCTGGAAGCCTCCATGCTCAGCTCCCAGCCCCGCTCTCCAGGCCCTGGGCCCGGCCAGCAACCCAAGTGCCTCCACATCTAGCATTAGAACCCAAAGGTGGCTTGGCCATGCCCGCACCCCAGCCCCTCCCTGGCTGTACTCTGACGGGAAACCAAATGCCTGTTTCTCCCTTTTCTCAGCTGGGTCAAGCAACAACTGGAACCACCCCTCCACTAAGGATCCAGAACCCTGGTGCCCAGTGAGCTCTGAGCGCCCCCCTGAGCGGACCAGCCCCCTTCTTGGCGGTCAACGGCGGTCCTTCCTGAGCTGCACACATGGTTGAAACCTCTATGCCACCTGAGGGAGGATGGGAAGGAGGTTTGTGTGCAGCCTCTTGTTATGACATGAGTAGTAGTGACTTTGTCACCAACCCTCGCGAGGTGACCTCAGCTAGGTCACATTCCCCTGTAAGGCTAAGAGGAGGAAGGGGTGGGGTAGGGACTGGTGGAAGGTCCCAAGGAGGGGAAGAGCCCCAGATGCAGAAGGAAGAGATGGAAGGGGGGGCGCGTTTCTAGTGCAGATGGGTGGTCCTGGGGTGTGTCCTAAGGGAGCAGGGTGTGTCTGGAATCTTTCCCAGTTTGAGGGTTGGGGACCTGGGCCAGGTCAGGCAAGAGAGGGCAGGATGGGGGGTGAGGGGTGTCTTCCCGAGATGAGGATCCCACGTGGCATAGCAGGGCTGGCAGGGGGTCCTAGGCAGGTCGGAACAAGGCTCCAGGCCTCCGGGAATTGGGCCATCGGAGGGTGAGGCCGAGCATGGGTGCTGCCTGGAGAGGACTGGGAGCGCCTGGAGTCGGGATCAGGTACCACCCACAGGGTGAGACCTGGGTCTTTCCGGGGGTGAAGTGTCAGAAAAAGGGGCCAGGAGCTAGGGCAGCAGACAAAAGGGGAGGGTACCCAACGGACCGGACCCGGTCTAGACCTCCAAGTAAAAGGGGTGGGCTGTCCTGGGCGGGATCGGGGAAGAGGCTGCAAGTCTGGGGGGGTGGATCCGGCCGCTGGTCAAGAGTCGGGGGTCGGGGCCACGGTCACCTTGAGCAACACGAAGAACTCGAAGAGACGGCGGAAGGCGGGCGGGAAGAGCCGCGAGTAGGCGACTGCCATCTTGAAGAAGAGCGCGTGGAAGAGCCGGTCGCGCACGTTGATGAGCGGGTTGGGGTTTAGGTTCGGGGTGCGGGGCCCACGCGCGGGG